CCTTTGAATCCGCCACGCTGCCTCTGTGGCTGCCAGACAGCCCCTGCCCTTCCTCCAGGAGCAGGTCTGCTATCTCTGCCCAGCTGTCCTGGGGCCAAGGACAGGCGTGTTTGCTCCTGCCATGGAAGGGACAAGGGATAACAAACTTGTCCCTTGGCTTTGGGAGGGGAGGAGAGGCTGTGGAGAGGAGGAGGATGTGATAGCAGAGCTGGGAGTGGGACTGAGGGGAGGTGATGGCTGAGCCCCTGGGAGGGGGTGCCTGCTGCAGCCAGTGCTCCAGCCAGAGGGGGGCTGCAGGGGGGCAGGAGTGGTCCCTGCTCTGTTCTCCTCCCTGCCCCGAGGTGCACGGCTGCAGCAGAGCCCCACAGCAGCATGGGCTGCGTCCCGGTGCTGTGTCCTCACTCTCTCCTCCCCTCTCCCTGCCAGGTTTGCATGTCTTCACCATCGCCTTCGCCTTGGAGGTGTCGGTGGGGAAGACCAACACTGTGATGGCTCTGAATAACTCCAATGTCCTGCTGCCCTGCACCTTCACCACCTGCATAGGCTTTCAGGACCTGGTCTTCACGTGGTATTTCAACTCGACAGAGATGGTGGGTGGCTCTCTGGGCTTGGCCTCTCTTTTCCTGGCAGGTCCTTCTGTATTTTCCCAGTGCAGAGCAGCACTGCAGTTCTCAGGGAGTTCACTTTCTCCTCTTGCAGGATACCCATCCCTCCAAGTGTCTTCAGCGCTGGGCAGATGGGGCTGTGTGAACAGGGTGACTCAAATACTGTGTGAACAGGGTGACTCAAATACCCTGGCACATCTGTGCTTCTGGCACAAAGCTGCTCTGGGTTTTCTGCTGCCCACAGGCTCGTTTCTTTTCATAAATTGGTGATAAATTGGCTCTTCAGGTGCAAGGCTGCACTTTGGGCAAAACATAGTTAATTTTCTCCTCCTGCACTTGCTCTGAAGTACTAGAGGTATAGATTTGCTTCTGGCTGGGAATAGTCTGGTGTTCAGCTCCGTAGCAGGAGGGCTGGTTTGGAGCAGGGCTGTCCTCGCCGGCTGGCCAGCCCGGGATGGCCCTAGAGCAAAGGGGCTCTCTCTGCCCTGGGGTTCTCCCGTCTTTCGCGTGGTCTGTAACTGCTGCAGGGCAAGTCAGAGCGATGGGTTGCTTCCCTGGGGGGCTGTGCATCAGGTCCCCCTTCACAGAAAAAGTGTGCTTGGCCGTGCGTATCTGGGCGTGCATGCGAGGGTGCAGCGGGGCACCGGTGGGGGAAATGGAGCCTTTCCCTCGCCTGGGGCTGTGGGGAGCCCAGCTGACCCTGTGTCCTGCATCTCTGCAGATTTACCACGGCAAGATAAAGAGCAAAGCCTCGGAGCCCTTCCTCGTGGGACGCAACCCGCGGGTCGAGTTCGTCGGGTCGACGACCGGGAAGGAGAACAACATCTCCATTGTGCTGAGGAATGTGGAGTTCAGCGATGCTGGGAAGTACACATGCCACGTCAAGAACCCCAAGGAGAAGAACGCGCAGCACAACGCCACCATCTTCCTCACGG